CCTGGTTTTCCCTTCGAACCCTACACAAGCACAAACTCATCTTCCTAAGAGGACAGTTCTGGATGAACAGGGATGTTATGAGCAGTAAGTATCGGACCAAACACGGATGTACTACTGGTCGTTTGCGCGAATATAAGACAGAGGTGGATGTGGTTACGGAAGATGTTCCCAATTTACACCCACCAACCACCCAGTCACACACCCAGACGAGATACTCTTCCGCCCGGTGGTCGGTGTATTGTGAACGTTTGGCGTCGGAATAATTCAGTGCGCTCCAAGGTTCGATGCATTGACGGTATAGTGTTCACTCACTACGCAGTACGTAATGATGTGGTTGTTGTCAGTAAGATGTCCAGCTACTTCCCTCGCTTCTACATGGCCGGCTTGATATCGGGGGGCGAGAGGCGGTATAACACCGGACCGTCCACTTTATGCATAATGGATGAGTCAGATAGAAGAGGTGACTGTTACACTTTAAGTCTGATTCTGGACTGTAACCTGAAGCTGATTTACGCACGCATGCGTGCACATACACACTAACTTGTCATAGTTGTTGAGATTCCTTCATTTCAGTAACAAACAAGGAAACATCGCGTATGACAATATTTTTAAAGATGCATTCTCTTCCATTCTGTGTTGTGTCCTTTAGTACCCCACCTACCGTTATCAGCTCATAGCCACCTATAATTCTTCAATTTTATGTGGTTCTTTTATTTCTTTTTTGCAATATACACTAACATAAGAGAGTGTGTGACTACACTCCCACCCCACCCCCATTCCAAATCGCGATATTCGCGACGTTCGCCTTGACAACCCAATTGAGTTATATGTATGTAGATACATAGATGAGGTAATTTTATTGGTCGAAATATACTATCATCCCATGGGAAAGACGGTTACACATGTGTTTTGATTTGGAGATGTCTCTGAGTTATACAAATATATATTTCCTACATAACAAATCACAAATTAGCAGAACAAAAACTAGATTTCGGCAAAAAATGACGATTTTCTCGTCATATACAATTGTGCAGGTAGCATTTAATAAAACCTATTCAGTTTTCCGTTTTCTTCAGTGATAATTATGCAGACCAACAAACAGTAATGTGGACTCGGGTTTCGTTCCTGTTGAAGCTCATCAGCCGTGCATGCTGCTGCAGTGATTCGAACCGCATATCTTTTACCTGGAAGCCGAAACCCTTAGACTTGAACCAATAGAAAAAACAGCGCGCATGGTGAACTAGCGATTGGAATTCGTTTTTGATGAGTCTTTCTATCAGCACTTTAAACTCTCTGTGAATATATTCGTTCCCATTACAGGGAAAAACATAAATCATTCTTCTGGTTGTCATACCCAACTGGGAAAAAGCATGCTACCTCTTTTATTGAAGTGGTCCGTTCAGTGGTCATGCTGATGGATGTGATGAGGGGTGAGTTCGGGAACACAGTTTGTTCACTGGTTCAACCGAGTTCAGTGAGGACCGAACCCCAAATGTTAGTATTCAAAATGCAAGTCTACTCGATCGACCGACGGTTACATCAGACTGTTTCGCATAGTTCACACTAACCCCACGAGTTCTCTGTACTCCGTGCATGAGGCCCAGGAATCCAATTGAGACCCGACCAGTCAGTAAAGATTTTATCAGTGAAGGCCTTCAATAGTTCATAGATAGTTTTTATCGTCTGATGTCCGAGTTTCGCTGGGTTTTTTCTTGCTACGGATCGTCACAAGTATATTACGATAGTGTACATCACTCACTGGCAAAGTTTTTGTTAAAATTTTCTCGTAATGATAGACTTCCCGCTCAAGAAAATAATTGCCAAATCATTTAGTTATAATACGGAATGAATTTAGCTCGGGATGCGGATGTTGATGTTTGTGTTCTTCTGGTTGTGAGTGTTGACCGCAGACATTTCGTAGCCAGACCAGGTAACATCATCCGTGCTTCCCCGAAGTGGCATTCTTAATGTTGTTTAGCATGGCTACGAAACATTTGTGGACAACAATTGCTGCCCAAAGAAAACACCAACAAACGCATAAGCAGCACCTGTGGCCAAGGACCGTCTTTCGGAATCCCTTCAGGAACCGCCAGAAAATGATCATCTAGTGAACAATTCCCAATTCATAAAAGTGAAATATAAATGTGGGAAACCCGAAAAAACTGAACAAGAACTAGAATTTTTAAATAAAATACAATCAAAAGCCAACGGCGCCTGATACAGGCAGATAGATGATCCTCAGTAATTGGAGTATAATCCCCAGGAAACAAAATCTTTCACAGACGGGCAGAAGGTAGGGAATTTCTAATCATGGTGTTCCTAATCACTGTATATATGTTTCAATTCAATCCCCATCATTCAATTCTCCTTTCTTGCAATTCGTTTCCGGTTCTATGAGAAGAAATGATGAAAATTAACTAAACTACCCTCCAATGCGGTCCATCTCCATGGTTCCTAATGCTCAGAACGCCAGTTTTACAGACCACAAATTACGTTATGGTACGATATGGTTGGTTCACTTTAATTTATGACGAAATCCTACAGAACAATGTCGTTAAATCTCCATGAGCATGAGCCTTAGGCTCTAGCTGGCGTGATGAGCAGCGGAACGTATAAACCCTATGGCCCCTAGCACCCACTGTTTCCTCGTGGGCCGCGGGAACCTTAAACACCGAAACTTGGATTGGTGAACCACATAAGACTAAACTATCATAGGTACGACTTTGAGTCGGGTTACAGTGAAACTGCCTATTTACATGCTAGGAGATATGAAAACTGCTCTACTCATGACATGTGATTCGACTCCACATATCTGTGTGACCTCATTTTCTATCCTCATAGGGTACGAGGTGCACCAAGGAGATAACCATTGCATACAGCATTTCATGCCTCTGATTCAACAGACAAACATAAATCCACGTCCCACACATTACCGGTGGCGGTAAAGGAATATAAACATCTCTGTCACAGTACCCAAAAGGTTACAGGCTCGAATCCCATCACCACCTCTTTAATTTTTCATTTGCTTCTGTTTCACGGAAGCACTTCAATTGAACGCCTACTTTATACTGAAAATTCCCGGTAAACTCTTCTCTTCTGAGCAATAAAAAGGAACAAACTTATTATTGGTTTGCTCCGTCTCGCTATCTAGGATCTGTATACCACATCTAATCTATACCTTTCCCATCAAGCAATAATATAATAATTCGCTTAATATTCAGCTCATTATAAACCGGTCCATTAAAAACAGTGAAGGCATAGAACATGTGCCAAATGGTTTGGTGATACGGACGCAGCGTCTAAATCTTCTCGGGTATTTGATACCATTGCGGCGACCAACTGGGCAGCATGCGGTCGCCACACTTTCTCATCAAGGCTAGCAAAATCAAAATTTTGTAGAAAATCAAATGTTTCAATAATTATTGACTGTAGCCTAGTCCAATACTCTATCTGATTCACCTACTAATTGAAGTTTGTGCAGCGACTCTAAGGACCACAGGTAGTGGCCAAGGAATTGCGGGTTTTGAATACAGCTTGATGGGGAAGGGCGCGGTAGAGCAACATGTGGTGCGTCACCTCAATTATTGAGATTTTGATTGAGAGAGTTAAGATTCGTAACTTTTTTAACCATAGTTACTTCCCGGTCTATCGACTGCGCATTTAAAAGGACGCAATAGAAAGCGGAATGTACATACCCGCTTTCGAAGAGCTCGCAAGCGAGTCTGACACCAAAAATGTTAATGAGTGAAGCCTTTAGCGAATTCACTGTTACTGTTTGTTGAGCTGAATGGTCATTTGTTCTCGAAATTATTAGCCAAATGCTTTAGGAAAGCGGAACGTATGTGAAGAACAGATTTCGTAGCTAGTAAAAAAGTTGAAAAATGAAGACCTTGGGAGTGTCCGACTCATTCGATCCGCTTCCACCAAACATTGTTCCCTGGACACGGCAACATGTTCTGCATGCATCAGTTTCGTGAAACGCAGACTTATTGTCCAAAACAGAATAAAAAGTCCTTTGTCTACTCATTATTTATGAAACCAGCACTTGGATAGTAATGATAAAAGGGTCATCATTTACTTCCTGTAACGAGAGAAATCTTTGCTCAGTTATAGACCGTGAGTGTAATTTTCGACCGAATCGAGGTGTGCACAGTGACAATGGTAGTAGTAGTAGTGGTAGTAGTAGTAGTAGTAGTAGTAATAGTTATAGTAATAGTAGTGCATCTGCACATTCTCGATGTTTGTGCCCAAGCACATCGTAGAGCAGCAATTGAGTGAGTAGGAAATATGTTCGGCTTCGTTCACTCAGTCGTTCAAGTGGTTCTGAGTAGTCATCATCAGCACGCACAGCTGATATACAGCGAGAACTATATAGTGTAGTAAATCAGCTGATTTTGCACATGCAAACACATACAGAGCCCATATACATCTCTAATGCCCTCTCCACAACGCGATCACGAACACACTGAGTGTGAGGGTATCTCTACAGAATGTCGAAATAGATCATCAATCAACCTCCCTAACATGTGTCGTTCAGGTACGCCCATCTGTTTGTGAGAATGGTCACAAAAGTGTGTGTGTGTGTGTGTGTGTGTGTGTGTGTGTGTGTGTGTGTGTGTGTAAGCAATGTAGTATGTGAGCCCAGTGAAAGCTTTCCATGGTTCCTCTACCTACTTACTGTGCACACCCTCACAAACAGAAAGATTCGGGACATTGTTGAAATCCCATTTTGTCACCGATCTCACACAGTGGAGTGCATCCACTGATTTGAACAGCGATAAAAACACATCAAACGTCTGACTTGTTTCTTTTTTTCTTCAAAAGTTAGGGCATAGATCCAAAGTAAACAAGAATTCATGGAATGTGCAACATGACAACAGCCATCATCAAGGTGAATGAAATCCGATGAATCTTACCTATTTGTGGCATTTCATTCGAATATATAAAGATAGAAAACAACCGAAATCATGTGATGAAATAGCAGGAATGTGAAAACTCACTTGTCTGCTCACAAGTACACCCACGGTCAGTAGACCAGAGGTTAGCCAAACAATCACGTGTTCTCGTGCTAGGCAGGCAGCAAATCGATCTTCTGACGGGCGAGTGGAATACCGATGCGCTGCCAAAGCTGTCTGATGGGATGGAGTCCAGCCGAACAGTTGATGTGTGGGCACAACCTTGCCATTCTGCAGACAATAAGATGCTGTCTCACCGGGTCTAAGTGGGCACAATTTGACGGGAACCGGTGGAATGGATCCGGCGGGGTCGGTATCTGTCCCCGGTTTACCGGGTCCAGTTTCTCCTCCAACCGATTGCTGCAAAGTGCTATCTTTTATCCAGCCAGATTCAGGCTCCAAGGGGTGACGAACATGGCCGGAACGAGGTCCCATAAACAGAGATTTCGGTTCTGTCGCATCACCCCACACATCAGATGTGGAATCCGGTGCACCACTGGAACGACTTCGAGTCGAGCTGAATTCGCCTGGGTCCCAACAGAGACTAGTCATCCAACAGGGACTGTATTCTAGGGCCCAGTGAATTGTTGTCAAGGCCCACCAGATAGAACTGGCTATCAGGAAGAAGTATTGCGTCATAAAAACAAGCGCACAAACTGAATTATCCAAACCCTCCTGCAGGCGAATCACTCGTCCGGAGTCCAGGTCCGGTCCACAAGTTACTGTTTCGCGACCCAGACCAAGACTGAGCGCATAGCCTAACGCATACAGTAATTGACAAAGTGTGATATAAATTATTGGACGTTCGGAAGTACGAAATACACTGGTATCCAATGCGTACCCAATCAGAGTGAAAGTGGTAATTACAGAACATATGGCCGTCAAAATACCAGTCCAAATGAACACCAGAGATTTCGCATCTGGGGTAAACAGAATGTCGGATTGGCAAAGTGGAGCACAACGTCCCGTACGATTCACATAGACGTAGTACGTTGGTTTCTTCAAATGCGAACAGTGTCTTAGAGACTGGGCGAGCAACGAGATGGACGACGGGCCGTCTAGATTGATCGATTTTGCTTGAGACGCTTTGGCCTCTTGTTCTTTGGCCAGCTGAAGTTTGGCGAATTTGAGAATCCATTGATTCACAGGATCCGTTTCTCCATCCACAGATTGATCACCGAAATTTTCTTGTAGCAAACTGAGTTCACTAGCTTTATCTCCCTCTTTATTGTCTTCCTCATTCACAACGCCCGGATTGTCCACAGAATGGTTGTGAATAGTTTCGGGATCCGCAGTTTGCGGGGTGAGCAACACAGTCTCCTCTTCAGCATCCGGTGGACCTTCCATACACATAGCTCCGTCCACACTGTTTTTCACCGGGAATCGGGAACAATTTAAATTAGCAGGCCAGTCAAAATCGAATACCCGCAGCACAGGAGCACATCTGGCCCTCACGTGTTCGCACAACGGCCGACAGGGGCCAATCAGATGCCTTGTGTTCACATCACACATCGGTGTGTAGACAGAACAGAGGAAAAAATTGAGCTTACTTGAGCACTTATAAGTGATGAGCGGTTTAAAAGTTTGTAACTGATGTCTTGCATCGAACTGGGTCTCCTGTTCAACCAGATTGGGCATGCCAGTGAAATTGTAAAATGTGTTCTGGCACTCAGGAATCAATATGGGCACCGGTTTCATACAGCGACGTTGCCCGATCGGAGCCAACGACTTGTCAGATACGAATGTGGTCGAGGCGATGATCTTGAGAGCCAGGTGATCAAAGGAAAAAATAATCCATAACGTGGTGAGGACCCGAGAGATTTGACACGTCATATCCAGCGTAATCGCCATCAGTTTCGGTGTTATGAGTGCATAGACGAAGCAGTAAAAAATGCAACTATTCCAGTGAATTAGCACGAGTTCACACGCACACACCGTGGCTGCTTCAATACTGGCATTGACTTGAGTTCACACACTGGTAACACACATGTATAAATCATCTCGTACATCAGTGTACTACCCGTCATAATAATCATAATCAGCCCCATCACCATCCGTGTCGTTGTCCGGGCAGTCAAGATGACGAATAGCTGCTGTGTTCGTCACTCTTTATTGTCCATGCGCGTATAAGTTGTCTGCCAGTAGATGTCTGCCTGTATATCACGCACATACGCGAACACGTCTGTCTACGGAGCGTGCGTGCGTGCGTGCGCGCGTTCGCACTTGCGAACGCAAGTCCTGTTGAATGAACAGACAAACGTAAGCGTATACGCACGCGTACTGACAACGCTTGTGCGCACACAAACACATAAAGGGCTACAAATCATGTCATCTAATTGGACATGTCTTTCAAATGTCACCGTGGCCTGCCATCTGTAATAACTCAGTGTCTAGCATGTGATTGGCCACTCCCACTGGTCCAATCAAGGCAGTGAAGGTGAACGATGTCTCGATTGGTTCAGAACAGACAAAAGCAGAAGCAGAAATATTTTGGAGGCCAATCGGGGTCGTATGGGGCAATTTATGTGGAATTTTACAGATCGCGTGACACCCGTGGATGATTAAAGTGTTTTACGAAAATAGCTGGACGACTGGCTCTTCACTTTCCATTAGAAGCAGAAAACGTTGATCACATAAGGAACCAAATTATGTCTGCAATTCAAATTAACGGAAAACTTGGATTTATTCAAGCGAATAGTTTCGTTAAACCTCGGAGGCGTTCAAAGACAAAATAATGAAAAGAGCATCGCTATGGTTTGCGGTACGAAACATCAACATTGTGCTCGAAAAGATGTTTTCCTTTTTATTTTCAAACGAAACCCTGATCACGGGAACCTCAAAAAGCCTTCGTGTTATTCAATTTAGGTGTTTGCTCTTTCAGTTTGAACACTGAATAATAATTTACCAGGTTTTGAGTGCCCGGTTATGACGACCTTTTCCAGTAGTTTAAAACCCATATCTAAATCGAACTTCGTAATATTAACGACGCACCAAAGTTTTGATTCCATGCCTTTTGTCAAACATCACTCCTAGACAGGTGTTGGATTGACCTAATTTGATATTTTGAGCAAAACTCCTTGCATTTCTGACGAGAGGCAAGCAGTAAAATTCAATAATAATTAAATAAAAATATCGCAAAAGGTGTATGATTGACAAAATTAAAAAAATGAAATATACACGAAATCCGTGTTTTCTTCTCTGCCGAACGGAAGATTTATCATCGTGAAATATATATGTATACATATTTATAACGCAAGTTAGCGAACTTGGAATTTAAAAAAGGGAAGAAAGTTGAGTATTGTGTTTGACAGTTGTATTATATTGTATCCAAGCTTTATCAAGCTATACAAGCTTTCAGCCAAAAAATAGCCCACCGTTACAGTTCTGGTAGAAACAGGTGAAAAAGTAGGATGTGAAATATACATAAACATGAGATAGTTACTAAATGCATTGGAAAGCTCAGAGCGAACACTTTCCTTGTCGGTCAGTATTCATGCAAGATAGAGTTTCTGCATGCGGATATGCGAGACGGGATATTTTGTTACTTAGAATGGGTGGAGGGGTGGGATTTGCAAGCATACAGGTCAATGTGTAGAGGATGGGTGCAATCGAGAGACATGGCTGATCATTGAGAGGCCACGCCTCAGAAACTTGAAATCAGCCTTCAGTAAACCAGGGAAAACTCTTGATCAGAAACATTAGTCGTTGCATTTCGGCCCTCCTGCCGCATTTAAATGCAGGTTCCTTTTCACGGCGAAGACGTTTATGAAAAGGTGTTGATATTCTGCCATGTTGAACGAACAAAGTTATCACAGGGCAGCATATATCAAAACACAGTTTAACACTTCAGTAAGAAATGTTATATTGGGCAAGCAGGTTGTGTTTAAAGGAAAAAAATCGGTAATTACCTTAAGAGACTCTCTAAGCAAAGTAATATTGTCTGGGGAAAGATCTCACTGACGGAACATTATGTGTTTGTATCGAGTCAAAGCTAAATGTCCTGAGTGTGAGTAAATCTTCGGTTTGACCAGGATCAGGTTGTGATCACTGGTGCCTAAGGGGGAGAACTGTTTGGTAGAAAATGTGTCAGTGTGATTTGTGATTATGTGGTCTCAATATGTTGTCCTCAATGATTTCATGAGCTGAAAGTTATCATAATCGAAGCTATCGGTAAAATTTGGTGAAGCATGAAACACTAGTGATTGGCAGCATGCAAAGGAACATCTTCGTTTTCTTACTTTCAGAGTCTAAGGAATAAAACCGAGCAGATAATGGACTTCTATTTATCATGCTATGCATATCCGAGGCAGTGGCTATCCGAAAATCAAATCCTCCTCTTCTGTAATGAAGAAAAGAAACAATCTGAGCCCGTTTTATCTTTGACATGGCCTCAGATGATGAAACTTTATCATGCATCCCGGATGATGCATCATTGTTCTATCTGTGATGCAAATCGTGTAAGCGAATATAAAGCATACTATAGCCCTCTATTCACTGTTTGATGTGGTTGAGGCCAGGTCAAACACTATAAGTAATTATAATGATTAGTTGATCAGCTTGTTGAGAAGGGTAAAGATTGGATTGACTATTTCTGTACCACAAAACTGATCAAGACATGAACCAGAGGAATAAGTTCTGTTGAAGGTTACTATCTATATATAAAGATAGAAATTCTTTTCGAATGTGTCGAGAGCTATCTGGAGCTAACCTTATTCCACTTACTGGGGCGGAGTAAGATCATGTTCAAAGTTAGACTAACAAAAGCTGATTACAGTGGAGAACATGCCGTATTATTAAGATCCTGTTTGATTCGTTCATGGGTCGGGAATAACCACGGACCCAAAACACACTTCCGTGAACTCTACAAAAATAGAAAAAGAAAGCCCTGACATATTTTTGAATCAATGACGAATTTTTACTTGTTGTTAATTCTTGCGGTTTTTAAGGTAAACAAAAGTTGGAAGTAGACGTCTGGTTTGGTATTACGTTTCTGTGTTTCATGATTTAATCACGAGTTGTGTCTATGTTTACCGGCTATTCTTCCCGTCTGTATGGCTGTCTGAAGGAATTGCGGATTACACGGTACTAAAACGTTCAAAGATTGTCAGTCAATCCGGGGAGGTGGTAGCCGAGTGGTTAGGTCACCTCGCTGTGACCCGGGATCCTGGGTAAGTAACGCCCCACCGTAGCCCGTCTTCTCCAATCTTGTATTTTCCCAGACAGCCTTTGTATAGCTGAGGCCCCCTTCCTGATAGTCAACTGTACATTTGTTTATTCAATAAATAAAAAGGGAAGTGAAAAGACATTTAGATTTATATTTAGTTCTGCTACATTGTGATAACCAAGGGGCTGTGTGTTACATGGAGTGTGCAATGCATGTATTCTAGACACACACACACACACACACACACACGCCAAGAGCCAGATGACTTCACATGGTGCCATTATCTTGATAACGTTATCATGAGTTTCTATGAAAAAATAACTATATCGCGGGTAAAACCCAAACGTACGACCCAATCGGCCACCGGATAGCCGGTTAAGTCATTTACCATTTTCCTTATATATATAGCACAACTGATCTTTGCCTGTTCAATGCGGGCATTGAACTTCACTCCTCCCAGCCGTAGCCTTCGAGTTTGACTCGGTGGAAAATATTTCAACCCGACCGCTTGTTACTTGAGAGTGATGGTGGATTTGCTGAAGGCGAAGTTTATCGTGTAAAGAGCAAATGAACTGAGTTCAATCCCTCGTTGGTTAGATGGATATCTGCATTACTGATGAAACCCACTCAGAACGAAACAGCTATGTACGCTGCCTCTTAGCTTTCCATTGATGCATCGTTGGCTCTGTACATGACGATATTCACCTCATGAATGATCGAAGAGTTAAATAGAAAAAAACCATTTGGGAGTTCTGAATTTACTGAACTCACACGAACATTTGTTTGGGTATTGTTACTTAAGAATTTTCGATAAAAGATTTATTTATAAGTATATTTATTTATAACAAATCCTTAATCATTCAACTGTAAAAACGCCGTTGTTATTTTTTCGTGATGAGTGAGTGAATGAGCAGTCGCCCGAAAACACCCAGCCCGTCCGGTTGGCTATCCTAACGGGGGTTGTTGAACCTAAATTTGAAGGCATCACTCCTCCCCCCGCCCGGCCTCCGCCCAGATGCGCATCAACACACACACACACACACACACACACACAGTCTCACCGGTGACGATGCACGTTATACGCGTGTGCCGGAAACGCGGAGAATTCGCCCAAATGGGGGCTAAACACTTGTAAACATCGATCGAAGGAAAGAACCGATAGTCACGTGAGCATGTGAACTGGATAGAAGAGCGGAAACGATTTGGTCAATGGGTCAGAAGAGCGAGGCACAGTAGGACCGACTGCCAGCAATTCATGATGTTCACGATGTTCATTCGCGTTAGTGATTATAAAGGGGAATTTCGTCGTGTTGAGAACAAAGGATACGTGACCTGAAAAGCACATAGGGCCTGTGCGGCCAGTGCTAACCATGAGCGAGGTTATGTAGACGCTCGCAACAAGTTTGCACAAATGGTTTGCGCTATATCACAAATCAGTCCGTTGAATTTCCCGGTGATCCAGGACTAGTATGCATCCTCCTTATGTGTTTCCGGGTCTGCGATTCGCAGTTGAATCTGTGGCTTCTTTGTGTACATTTGATGAGACAAAACAAGATCGAAACAGTTGAACAATGTGCATCTCAACATTTCACTTAAACTTTCTTTTTTTACGGATACATCTAAGCTCTTCGTAGAACCGACTCAAACCTCTACTACTCCCTGAATTAAAACGATTATTAAATTTGGT